TTGAAAAATCTAAATGAATGTTCTTAACACAACTCAAGTTGCCTGTGTTTCCTTCCCTTATTAAAACTCCACCAGAGTAAGTATGTGGTCTATATAAACTTTAGGATATAGAAGTTGGGAGCTTTCTATTATTAAAATTACTCAAGGTGTGGTCAGAAATGGAAGTTGAATCAGACATTTCCAATTCCAAGAACATATGATTCAAATGATTATTACTGTGATCCCCTGACTACAATGGGAAATTAAAGTGTGGCTTTAAAAATAATAGTCGAGTTGCATCAAAGCTCTTAATAAAAACAAGATATTGAAATCTTCCTAGAGTAAATTCCATTAAAGGATAAAAAAAAAAAACAGCATTGATAATTGAGAGTTATGCCATTCTATCTCAAGTTAAATACTTGTTTGCTTATTATTTAATTTTAGTTGTACAAAGTACTTTATCAGCCTTTTAACAAATAAGACAGCATAATAACCCCATATGATGAGTGAGTAGCTGGCCAGCCATGCCCCCAAGTACAGAAGAGGATGGATTGCTGTAAACACTGCCAACCAAGAACACCTGTGCACTTTTCCTTTATCTACCCTGGCCGTGAAAAAAAAAAAAAGTTTAAAGAAAGAAATTTAGGATCACTTAAGGTTATTTTTAGCTCAGAAACTGGAGGGGAGAGAACTCATAGTGCTTTGGCCAAATGAAGAGAAACTTTGAAAAGACCATCTTATTTTCCCCTACTGACTGCCATCTTTAATTCTGAGATGCCCCTCTCCTCATAAACCATCTCTGGTCAATCAGTTTTCTTCATACTTAATCTGGAAAAGAAAGAGCTCACTGATGGTTTTGTTTTTCCTTTTAGACAACAGAGGAAACTTCCAAGCCAAAAACTGATGAAAAAAATACAAGTTAAAGTTTACACTCTTTGGTAAGTTGAATGTAAATGTAGACATTCATTTAAGTGTAAATTTACATTTAAATTAACGTGTAAATGAAGACAACTATACCTTCTACCAACCTGTTATAGGTAAGAGAAATGAAGTCCACCCCTTGTGTATTCCATCCCCTCTTTATACTATGAGCATGAAATGCACATTGCAAAATCTAGAGTAATCATTCTCTGAAAAGCACTAAATGGGATGATTGTGCTATTGAAATGCTTAAAAAGCATAATCTTATAATTAAGAGCTCTTTAAAATATTAAGCCAGACACTTAAAGAAAATGACTATCTAAAGCCAGTTGAATCTTTGAAATCCAATGCTCATGACTGCACGTTATTATGGCAAAGCAAAATTAGCATGTTACAACTTAGCAAAATGTCCTTAAATATTCTTATTACCCAAAATACCAACATGTGGTGGTATACGGAGAAGTTTAGGGTCTAGGGGCAATTACAGGGTTTTTGGAACAAGGGCAAAGGAAAAGATTGGCCACTTTTATTTGTCTTAATTTTATAAAGTACTGTGTTTGATTCTAATTTATGGTGACTAAAGAAATCCAACAGATGAAGGAATCTGAGATCTATCTTGAGAGCTGGGTCCTTATCTTAATCTCCAGAGATGGGAGGTCTTACTCTAAGCCTTCAAAAGCATACAACCACTTACTGACCAAAGCCTAAAAGAAACCAAAACGAAGGTTAGATTGGGTTCAGCTCTCTCAGAACGATCCATTTTTATTTCCTGTAAAGAGGGAGGTAGACTGATTAGAACTGCTGTAAATATTTCTTCCCAAAATTTAAAAAAAGATTTCTGTTAATAATCCATTCTCATGTTTACTTACAGTAAATTTCTTCTTATTGTCTATTATACAATGCTTATGCTAAATAGTATATTTACTGTGCTTATAACAATAAGATTACATATCAAATGGTTCACTGGATTTTTTATTTGAATTTCTCAAGGTATCTGCATATAAAATCTTCAGCTGGTGAATGGTGACTTGAAGAAAAAAGCTTTGGCAACATAAAACAATTTTTCTGGGTGGCTGCTAGACAGTGATATTTGAGTCTTTTGACATCCTAAACATTAGTTTGTTCTTTTCCAGGAAAAAAAAAATGAATTTGTCTGGTTCACCTGTGTTATTGTACTGAGTCTTGATGAACTTTGAATTCTTTTTAAATTGCCTTCGGTTGGGAGAGAAAGGAAGCTTTATATTTGTAATAAATATATTTGATAAAGTTTCTTAAAGCAACACCAAAAAAAGAAAAACTTTGCAAACTTTTGCACATTCTACACACAGTGCCTGTAAATCTCATTAGTATTTTCAGTTTGCACTTCATTTCTTTAAACATTCTTTGATGTTCTGCTTTCTCATTACCCCCTTTCCTCTTGGGCTTTTAAACTGTATTTGATTTTTTTGGAGTTAATGTTTATAAGTCAAACATAAAATATTGTACATTGGGCACATATCTCCCTTTGGGCTACTAATAATAAATTAATAATAGATAACCTGGACAAACCGGGAAGCCCCGAACCCTGTTCAATTTGAAGTCTTCTTTGCCAGGTGTGAGGACTTCTGTACCTTTATAGTCAACACAAAACACAACGAGCCTTGAATCAAGTCAGCAAAAGAGCAAAATACAGGCTAGATAAGTCACTGTGTAGCAAGTTTTGAGAATAAGAAATAAAATCTAGTTCTTAGAATATTCATATGGCTTGAACTGTTGTTTTACTGAATTAAACTGTGCTTTCTATTTTCTATACATAAAATCTGAGCAGCAATTGTTTGCTTAGAGCCATTGCCACATTAGTCTTTGCACTGTATAGCATCTGGCTCTATGGAAGTTAAGTTTACTAAATACAAAAACTTCTGCTTTAAAAAAAATATACGTATATCTGAAATTTAAAATCTGCTTTTCTCCCACAACAGTTTAAGAACTAGACTGATATCTTACAACTTTTGATGGTTTCTCAGATCTTTCTGAATGAATAGTTCATGAACACGGCACTGATATCACTGATGGAATTTTGATAAATATTTAATTTCATCTATATTTTCTGGTAGTGAATGCAGGAAAAGATATCAGGTACATTATGTAAAACAGATTTGGAATTTGTTTCCAAAGAGCATGGGCTTCCTTAGCATCAGTTTAAAGCTTCTGTTAGGAATTAACTGCACTAAAAACAGGTAATATGGCCAATACTGTCTAAATGGGGGTGGGGAGGTGCGAGGCAAGCAAAAGTAATAACATTGATTATAATGGGCATCAAATTTTATTAGTAGTCCCTAAAAATATTCTCTAAAAGTTACCTATGGGATTTCAAACTGCTTAAAATGCTGTTTCTGTCCCATCAGAGATACAATCAGTATTCTATTTTTAAGGCAGTAACAACAAAAAAAAAAACACTTTTCCTGAGGGATTTTAACTATATATCTAATTCTCCCATTTGGGCAAAACAGGTGTTTGCTTTTGTTTGTTTCTTTAAACCAGAAAGACTTTGAAACCTTTGACACTGACAGATGTGTTTGCAAGAGTGTGGCTGCGGTATTACTAACATCCATGCATATATAGAAGTAATTTTTAAAGACATACCAAAATCCAGAGGTTTAAAAATCCCTGTAAAAGTAAACATTTAAGGTACTCTGAATACACCTTTTTTAATGAGAAATACCTTCGAGACTTGAGTGTTTGCTGGTAATTAACAAAGACTGGAGTAAGCGGTGGGCTCAAAAGCGACGGCCGTTTTTGACTAATTAGAAAAAAATAATTACAAATATCTGTTTAGAGGGAAGAAACAATTTTTTATTACCCAAAAGGTTCCTGCACACTGTTGTGGCAATATTGTATCTGTTTAGAAAATGGGCTTTTCTAAAAGCACGTGAAGACAGGTTCCTCAGGTGACCAAAACTGAAAGTCAGCATTTCCATGTTTCATTAATCAAGATACAAAATATAATTAAAGCAAAATATTTTACATTAAAATCCTGGCTGTTGTGTATGTTTTTTTTTTAGAAGGAAAATAGCCTGGGGTGGAAATTGTGATTTCTGTTTTCATTTTTATTTCTTAAACCATTAACTATGCAATAAGTATAAAAATGGAAATACATTTAAATCCAGAAAAGTCACTCTATTCATAGTGTATTAGAGCAACACATTTTGACTTTTTTGTATCATATTCCTTTATCTTGAAATTTTTGCCATATATTCAAAAAATTCATATATGACTTCAAAGCCAAAGAATACATTGTCCTCACTTAGGCAAATGTTTTCCACTTCAATAGTATATTTATTGATGATTCTGCAATGATTTATTGGCAATAAGTGCCAATAATGAATTATTTAGGAATTATAAACTAGGCCAAATAAGGAACAGAGAAAGTACACCTCACTACCCTCAGGATCAACAGCTGTCTGGTACAACTTCAAATGAAAGGTTTTTTCTATAGACCTGAATGCACTCTGCTTTTTCAGAAGAGATGCTGTATCAGGATCTCTCGGGAAAGAGATGACACTCAGAATTACCCGAGGAGGCTTCTATAAAAGGACTTTTTGTAAAGGTGCAGGCGAGGTGTAAGGAAACCACAAAGACCACGAGGCCCCTAGTCCTGCAGGGATGAGAGGAGGAAGCAGTGACCAGAACCCCGAGATGGAGAAGGCTGTGTGGAAAAAAAGAGGGCCACCTTTCCGAAGCTAAGACCTTCCGCAGAGTCCTCCTGCAAGGGAGCCGGGGAAGAAACACCTCCACCTACTCTGTCCCCCAACCCCAGCTCCAACCTCCTGGGGTCCCCACTGACCAAAATCCAAAGGGCAAGGAAGACTGATGACTTGGACCTACCAGTCAGTCCCTGGGCAAGGAGCAAGGAAGAGAAGGGTGGACAGCAGATCTGGAGGGGGTCAGCGGGAGAGCGCGGACACAGCCACAGTCCAGCTTCATCTCTGAGCCAGGTGTTCATTGTTCAGTAGTCTTCACTATTCAAAGTCTTTCAAGGAGATTGATGAAACAGCTTATGAATGACAAACAGGTGGGGCATGGGGCTTATAGGACACCATGGGCTTAAGCATAAAATATAAAAGAATAAATCATTTCATTCCTCCACGGTAAGGAACCCACCACTTTATATCTTAGGACACCACCTGTAAATGAAACGTGTGGTAGCAATAGCCCATTGATGAAAAAACTAACAGCCAATCTTTTCTTAGGAATAGTCAAATGAATCAGGAGTGGAAGGGAAAGGAAGTATCTTCAGCTGGAGCCAAAACAGCCATCTCTAGCTTGAAAACATTCACATTCAACAAAATGTTGGTGATGACAGATAACAGGAACCTGGCAAGGAACAGTTGTCACAGCAGTTCCAGCTTTTCATTCTGCAGCCACACTCTGATTTTATCAAAATTCTTATCCATCCACCGTATGTTTTCTTCAATGGTTTCAATTGTTTGTTGGACACAACGGAGCTGAGAACCATTTTCTTTCAAAGAGCTGAAGAATCCTTTTACCTTGTGAGGACAAAATTGGGTTTTTTAGTAAATTAATTTTATTACATTAGGCAAATGTAGCTTCAGGCTCGTTAAAAGAAAACTGAAGCCAAGATTCCAACATTTGTCAAAATTCTATAGAGAAGGCAGCCCCAGGTGTATGGATGTGATTATGTGCACATAAACTTAAGCTATATGAAATGAGCTCATACCTCATGATGTCAGGTTTGTGTTTTTTCTCTGCAGCTCTTTTATTTATTCACAGTTTCCAGGCTTTAAAAGACTTCACTGTTTACCATTTTATAATTAAGGTTTAATTGAGTGTGTCTATTTAACATGTATTCTGTTCTGTATGCACAGATGCAAACTTAATTTTTTTAAACATATCTGAAAAGCAAAATGTGCAGAGTATCGTCTTTGCCAAGCAAAACAGTTTAAACCACATAAGTGCAGTGTTTCTCCATGGGCCTAGCCTTGTATGTTATTACAGAAACACTGTAGGGAATGGGGTTCTTAGCAAGTTATGGTGGTAAGACCCCAAACCTTGCCAAGGTTTTTTATCCTAATCCACAATTCACGTAGTGTTCCCTCAAGATAAAATCCACATAGAGTTCCCCATGATATTAAAGAGATAAGAGACTCTTGGCTATCTCCTAAAAAATATCTTTGTTCTTGTTTCATCTTTGGGTATCTTAACCCCTTAACCTCACATGAGGAATAGGCTGGATTTGCCACGGCAATGACCACTGTGCTATTCTCTTTCACTTTAAAGAGTGCTTAACCTTATCTCATAAATTTTCACAGCATTAATCCATCCATTTTTGATTTTGTAGTCAGGAAGCAAGTGTAGGCCAAGATGTATTATTTATTCAGCATGGATTCCAGACGGCTAATTCTTTAAAATTCCATGTCATAATAACACATTATAAGTTTAGGAATAAAGGGGAGAGAGTAGGAATAGGCTTTAGAAAGGTCAAATTCCAATTTCAAATGATGCAAAGTTGTTTTAAAATTATATCTCAGTGCAACTTTTCAACAAGCTGAAGGCATGGCCTCCTGCTGTAGCAACCTGGAAAACATTTCTTCTTCATTGTCCTGCCTTCAGCTGTAGCTCATCCTACTGTTTCATACTCTCAGAACTCAAGATTAATTCACAATTAAAAAACACTGTGGGCACTCCTCAACAGTCACACCACATCAATAATTTTACTAATTGCTCAAATTATTAGCCCTAAAGGACCCCATCATGATAGCACCACTAAAGCCAGCTGTTGACCCTTGCCCCTACCCTTTTCCTGACTGTCTTCTACCATCATCTGCCTTGGAAATGCTGCATCTCAACTGAATATTTGATGCAAACCTGCCTCGTTGAGAACATTTTCTGTGCAATAAGTAGTGCAATATAGGGATAGAAAAACAGGTTTATCCTAACTTGTTTGACCTTGAGCAAATGACTTAACTTTTCTGGGACTCAGTCTTCTCATTTGTAAAATGGGGAGAATATCTACCCTGCAGAGCCGTGATGAGCATATAGTGATATAAGTGGTAAGTGCAGAACTCAACCTCAACAATTTATTCACCAGTATTTACTCTGGTACCTGTTCATCCCTCTGCCGTGATTACTGTCTAGACACTGAGGATGAGGCAGTGAATCAGGCAAGCACCCTGCCCTCATGGAGCTTACAGTCTACCTGGGGGGAGGGGGAGGCAGTAAATTATGATTACAATAAACATACTGCTGTGAAGAGCATATGCTAGGAGTGTGATAGTAACCGGGGAGAGGGTGGCCTGCTTTAAACAGCATGGTAGGGGAAGGTGTCATTTGAGCTGGAACCTCTAAAAAATAAAATGAGCCTTTCTAGTGAAAAACTGGGGAAAGAGCAAGCCAGGCAGAGAAAAGGAAAAGTGCAGAGGCTTAAAGACAGGAGAAACATCTGGGAGCCCAGCAGCAAGAGGAGGCTGAGTGGCCCAAGTATTGAGAGAGAGTGAACCAGTAGAGCCTGTGGGAACTGGCCAGAGAGGTCGGCAGAAGCCAGATCATCATGGTCTCGGACACATGGAAAGGAGGGGTTTGGCATTTACTGCAAGAGCAATGGGCAGGGTTTCAAGAAGGCAGGGTCAATCATGGGCTGATTTGCAGTGTTAAATGTGGGAAATGGTTTGCTATTGGCAAAGTGGCAAGTGGGAGGCCAGGCAAGAGACGGGAAAGCCCTTGGTGAGTGTAAGAGCAGAGAGGAGAGGTGCACATGCTGGAGGCAGGGCCAACAGGACTCGGGATAAATTAGATGTGAGGGGCAGGAAGGACTCAGGATGACTCCCACTTTTAAATGGCAGTAGGACGCTCTCCACTATGATAATATCTCAGGCTTTTTCATTTCCATGCCTTGCCTCAGGGTCTTTGCACACAACACTCTTCTAGATGTGGGCATTTCCTTCGACCTCTTCTCAAATGTCTCCCAATCACCCTATACAACATACCACCACCCAGCTACCCTGATCACTCTCTCTCCTTGCCTTAGGCATTTTCAGAGCATGTAACTACTTGACATAGCTTGATTCATGTAATTGCCTGATTCCCCCAGTAGAATTTAAGCTCTAGGAGAGCAGAGGCTCTGTTTTTTCAGTGATGTAGCCACAGAACCTAAAACTATGTCTGGCATATACTAGGAATATAAGATATCTTGAATGAATTGATGAGAAAACAAAGAACAAGTGAGTGAATGAAATGTTTTGTTGCTATAGATCTGGACTGTGGCCAGCTCTTCAGTCATCACACGTCACACAGGGTATCTCTGCTCTAGACCTCACTAGAGTTCAAGCTTTAACTGTTAGGTGCAAGTTAATTTTATAAGCCTAGGTGAGGCTACTGAAAACTGGAGAAAAGCTAAGGGACTGTGATAACACTTCATTCTTTTGTATTTTCAAAGCTCTCTCCCTATATCAAGCTCGATCATGGTATAACCAGACTACCCTATGGAACTGGAAAATTTAATATTAGGCTCTCACCTTTCACCTCAATGTAACATATTTTAAAAGCCACGTAAAATTTATAGGAAACCTTACTGCAGAAGGGACACCACAAAACATAATGACCTGAACACCAAATTCCTGAGTTTAGAGAAAAGTTTGCTTTTGTAGAGAACTTATGGTACGTTTCATATTCCCTTTTGCCAGACAATGAGAATAACTCATACTGATTTCTCATTTTTCCTTGACCGCTAGGAATCTCTGTGATAAATCTGGGGAACAAGTGGAATAATTATCCTCAACATAAGTTTCCTGCATAGTTATCTCCTGTCTATTATGCAACTCTTTGTTCCTTCACATTTTTTCACAGATGGATCTTATAAGTTGCCTAAAATTCTTTCTGAAGTAGACGGTATGTGTAATAAGTAACAGGGAACCCTGCACTTGGATAGTGAAGAACCTGGACTCCAGACCTGCCTCTTTCACAACAGCTACATGACCGCTACAGTCATTTATACCTCCAGCGCTCACTTTAACATCCTTTAACGAGGACTGATTGTCCCAAGGAATTTCTTTTTAAGTACTAAAGCTTTTAATGGCAGAGCTAAGACCTCTTCATGGGCTTGAGAAGAGGCACAGTTTTCACTAGTTCACTTGCAACTGATTTTTGCATGTGTCGACACCATGGCATCCGAAAACAACTTTTACATGACAAAATCCATTTCTAACTCAACACACCCCCAAAGTATTTTATCTACATATTTATTACCTAACTGTCACAAGTTTAAAAAGAAAGATTGTCTTTTTACCTCTTCGAGCCGTGTTCTTGTGGAGAATTGATTTGTTGTGCCCATTACCATGTAGGCTATGGAACGTGAGCCAAGTTCAAACCTAGAAACCAAAATTACCAAATTGTATTGTGAAATATTTATTCATTCAACATATTTTTAAGAGCCTCTATATAACAACATTTAACTAAAAACTGGTTAGTTTTTTAAAATTTTTTATTTCAGCATATTATGGGGGTATAAATGTTTAGGTTACATATATTGCTTTTGCCCCACCCGAGTCAGAGCTTCAAGCGTGTCCATCCCCCAGACAGTGCACACAGCACCCATTAGGTGTGTATATACCCATCCCCTCCTCCTGCCTCCCATCTGCCTGACACCCGATGAATGTTATCACTATATATGCACTTAAGTGTTAATCAGTTAAAACCAATTTGATGGTGAGTACATGTGGTGCTTGTTTTTCCATTCTTGGGATACTTCACTTAATAGAATGGGCTCCAGCTCTATCCAGGATAATACAAGAGGTGCTAGATCACCATTGTTTTTTGTGGTTGAGTAGAACTCCATGGTATACATATACCACATTTTATTAATCCACTCATCGATTGATGGGCACTTGGGTGTTAGTTTTTAAAAGCTTAAATATCCAAAAGAAAATGATAGAGGTAGAAAGTGCTTCAAGAGCTACACAAAGGCAGACGCAAACAAGCCAAAGTGCTGATGGAAGACGTGGCTGAACTGTGAGGAGGAAAGCTTCACATAAGTCCATGGGTATAGAAGGGGGTTATTCCAGATGGAACGGAAAATGTCCCTGTCCAGATTCATTAGTTAGCATTGAATTAGAGTTTTATATTTTCTAAGGATATTTTAAGTACTTCTAATGCCACCTTCAATCAAAAAATCCCCTTAAAACATTATTGTTATTTTATATACAACACAGTAAGGTTACAGGGGGAGCTTATCCAGTCACAGCATAATTTTTGGTACAACTTACTTTTGTACAAGTTTATTCCAATTTTCCCTCAGAAACTGCCAGGCCAATGGATATCCTACTGGGTTTCTGCCAATGAGTGTAAGAATACCTGGAAACTCCTGGGTTTTTATTATATCTCCCTTAAAACTTTGATCTAGAAGCCTGGAAGGATCAAGAAAAGCAATGTCAGCAATGAATAGTTGATGAAACAGTTATGAATGACTACAATGAAATAATCTGTAGAAGAGTAAAACCAGTCTGCCAATAGTAAGGGCCAACAGGATAAATATAGATAGCCAGAGTCCTAATAAACCCACAAAAGCTACATAACAATAAAAAACTAACGTTTATATAGTGTTTTTAACACCCATTCTCATATATTTTCTCACTGGCTCAAAAGAATAGTTGAGGAAGGGTGTCTCTAGTAAATATTTCAAGTACGTTATCACTTTAAAGATACACGACTGTATACACCTTTAAATATTTTTCCTAACACCTAGTTCTTCCTAATTATTTGTCATCCTCATTAGATGTGTGCCCACTTGAAGTAATGTTCCCAGCAGAATAGGCAATTCCTGGCCAAGAGAACAAAAATAGATGCCAGAATGATCTAATCTAATTTAATTTCCCTTGGCCACAGGAACATGAATGAATGACTCACCACTGAAGCTTGTCCTTATTTTGGCTCATACAGAGGGCAAATTCAATTTGTTCCTTCTCGGTACTGGACAAAGACGACTGATATTTACTATAAAGAAAATCCCAGCCCTCAGTGTTCTGGGCCCCCACAGCAAACACTGCCAAGGTCACGTCAGTAGGCAGGCTGTGGAAAAGAACACACTCGGTGAGAATCTGAGTCGTAGTAAATGTGTTTAGAAGCATAATGGTGACCAATTATGAACTAGCCTTGTGATCAGAGAAGCATGCCTGGAAATATCAACAAAAACTACTTTGTTCCTTCAGTGACATTTTGTGAAAGAGGCAAGTGAAAATATGTAAAATTAGGTTTAAAGTAGCCTTCCCCAAACGTAATGTAACATGCCACTTTTATAAATATATACATATCTAACATATTTTAATAATGCTGGGTGACTCCATACCTGGTCACCTTTCAAGCCAAAAGAAAGAAATTCAAACTAGATTCAACATTTGCACCATGATCACAAGTCAGGACCACTGTTTGTATGTATTTCTTTAAATGGAAGCATGTAGATTGTTGGAATAAATGTTTCCTCCATGGGATTTAAGCTCCAAATATGAAAGGAGTGAAGTATAGCAAGAATAGGGATTTCCAGATATGGTAAGATCCTATCTTGCTTAGACAGTGTCAGCGGTTAGTTACCATGCACCCCTGTCAGGGCCTTTGGAAGCCCAAAGAAGCTACTACAAAATGCGTTGCCTCCGTTTCTGTATGGCTGTCTCAGCTCAGTAAGATTTGATATTGGCTATACAAAATGACAATTATTCTAATCTTATTCTAACTCCACAGATATTTGACTTTTAAGAACAGAAGTTTCCTCCTAGCATTTCTTAAAACAGAAAGCTGAGTGCTACATAGGTAAGTCTTAAAAAGCAATTTATTTTCCAAAAAAGGGCAGCAGGAGAGATTTGCTTAAACTTCTTGTTTTTCCCAATGTTTAGCATCAATGAGGAAAAACAGAAAGGATACCTTTTACATCAACAAATTATTTAGTAGGAACTGACCTCAAATTTCCATTGGATTCCTTCCACTTTCTGAAATAGCCTTCTGCCCTCTGCACGCATGGCTGATACTTGCGCACACAGGCGAGGAGGAGGAGCTGACTCCGCAGCATTCGCTCGGAGACTGAGCCTTCGTCGGTCCACGTCTGCTTATCGATGAGGTCACTCAACAGCCTGATGAGGAAGGCCTGAGGGTGTCGTACAGAGAAACAGCAACGTGTGTCACTAGTACTGTCCCAGGTCATTTCATGTTAACATAATCCAGTATTGCCTCAGGTGATGGGAGCTCATTTTTAAAGCTTAATTCACAACTTATTTTAAAACTGTGCAGCTTTATTTATGTTTAATTACAGTCAAAACACAAAAATGATGATGAATGATTTTGGTATTTGCATAACAATCTTTTATAAGATCTTATCTACTTAAAGTCAGAATGAATTGCCACTTTTAAAAACAAACTAAAAGAGACAGTTTATATGACTAAATTTTAAGAGCAATTATACATCAGGACTTCATGACATTTTGCAAAAATAACAATTTTATGCCTCTTCCTCAAGTCCTATTTATTGAGCCCCAGAAAATCTTAATGTCAGCCATCATAATAGAGAAGTAAAATGAAATAAGTGATTTATGAAACGAAGGGAAAAACAAATCCATGAAAATTAAGTGTGGAGTCTAAGCAAGCTTTTCCTATTTTTAGTGCCAAATAAAACAGAAATCTTTCCCAATCTATCCAAATGCTGAATTTTTATTTGCTTTTCCTTTGCTTTTCCTTTATATATATATATATATATATATATATATATATACACACACATATATATACACACACGTACACAACGATAAGCACTCTTTTTCACACACACACAAAACACAATTATGTAACTATTCCAGGCTTTTACCTTGAATTGAGTTTCCACTTCATTCATATCTCTTTTCTCCATTAACTTATACATAGGTATCAGCTCATTCAAACCTTGGAACACGGGCATAATTTCCGTTTCACGTTTCAAGTACAGGGTTAAATCCAAGGCTTTTTCAATCGATAGCTTTCCAATGCTAACCAAGATACACCATGGTTAGTGGTTTAAAAGAAAATCCAGGAAATCAACTTTTTGCTTCAAAGTGTATTTTAATCTTCCAGCAAAACATTCAATCAGATAAAAATGCCCCTTATACATAACAACTGTTACATCAGTCTCTTTTTTGTCACACATAACATGATATCTAGCCTGTTTACACTGGGGAGGAAGTTTCTGAAATGGTAACAGCAAGGGCTGAGTGTGGGTGAGACACAATGGAAGCAGGTCAGCATCTGTTCCCATGGGACACTGGCTTGTGTGCCGAGCTTCCAGAGTAAGAAGGGGATTCCATCTAAGATCCTTCAGGAAGCCTGGTTAGATTCAGTCAAAAGTATGAGTCCCTGGAGTAAATTCATCTTCTCCATTTCAAAAAGACACTGAATATACATGAAAACTCTTCATTACAGAGGGTTAGCATTAAAAGCCTCAATGGTAGGATATATACTTACTTAAGTAAACACAAACTCTCCAAGATTCAAGCAAAAATATGTTACAGAACGGAATTAGATGAGCAACCCCTAACTTTCTCCCCTATTGCTTTTTGTCACCTTGGGAGGCCCAGTGTGTTGGTAAGAAGAACCAGAAGGAAGAACATATTCTAGGCAGAGGGACATGCGATAAGAAAATTATAGAGCTATCCCTTCCCACCTGAATGGTTCCCCTTAGGACTTCAGTTCTGCCTAAATAGTGAAGAAGTTTGAGTTTTAGGCTTGGGGAACATTTCCTTAAAAACGATTGTCATGGGGTAAAAAAAAAACGGCTAGCGTTCACTCTTTCTGCAACCACTGAAAAGTCATTTGGTTGGGCCAGATTTTATGAGCTGCATTACATAAAGATGCTGTGAGGTTCGGGTCTCTGGTTTAGGAAAGAAAAAAAAATCCCTCCTTTAATCCAAGAGATGTATTACTACAGTAACAACTTGGGTCTGGGGCCCTTAGTCTCCTGAGAAGGCTTCAGGACTGTTAAGGACCCAGCTTGGGAGACACCTGATCTGGCACAGCAGGGCCAGAAAAAGCTGCAGGACTAGGCTTTAGGGATGAGGCCAGGGACTTCGCCAGGATGTCAGTCTCCTGGTTTTCTACACTTTTGCTTCAGTCTGCTCTGAGTCGTTAATGAGGAAGATTGAAATACAGATTCCTTCCTTCAAGTTACTTAGCAGTCACAGACAGGAGAGGTTAATGTTAATCATAAGGCTAAAAGCAATCTTGAATGGTTAGAAGAACTTGGGGGGAAACACTTTTCAACCTCTTCTTAGCAATCAATCAATCATTTTAACCTTTAGAAATCAAGAATTTGAACGATAACAGCTGCTTTCAGAAATAAAGCACGACTTTGTGCAGCCTGTATTACCTGACAAGCTGAAATGCATTGTTAATGAGACTCGCCCGATCATTACTGCTGATTGCTGTGTGTGTTCCTTTTAAAAGGCCGGTCAAAGAATCCCATCCATCATCCTCGTAATGCACGATGTAATAGCCATTCATTCCCACGTTAAATTTGATCCATTCTACCTCTTCTGGGAGGATGAGCACATCTAGAGCAAATAAAATAAATCGTAACTCCATTTACCCTCTTGCCTGATGAAAGCTTTTGTGATCAGAGACTGGACAAGGAAATCAGAAAAGAGTTTAATATTGAACAATTTGAAATCATCACTTATTTCTTTTAGAAACCAGAAAACAGCAACTCAGAGACAAAAGCCAACATTGGCTTTAGACATCCATTGTGTGAGATTTATAGATCTGTGAAAACAATGCAACCACATCTCTGGCCATACATATGATATAACCTAGTAATGTTAACAAAGTAATAGGGGATTTTCACTAGTAATCCCTCCTTTTTAGCATTACATAAATCAACTGTTTTTATCTCTATATTGCAAGATTCTGGTCATTTTTTGGTAAAACCAGAAAGTATTTTCAAGCTGGTCCTTTTTGTTTTAACCAAAATAGCAAAAGAAACTTAGTATTGAAATCCTACATATTTCCATACTTCTTCCTTGAATTGAACTAGTTATTTCCACAAGAAATTACCTGTTTTTGTTTTCAGCAAAAATCTATGGACCGTGTCTGATTTGCTGGTGATGAATGTCAGTGGAACATGCCACAGGTACCTACAAGAAAGGAGGGATGGATTGTTCATCTGTTGATTTAATTCTGCAAGCAGTTATTAAATCACCTATCATGTGCCAAGCACTGGCTAGTTTAAGGATGGGATGGTACTAAAGCTGCTGTGGCCAGACTCTCAAAATAACCTCAGTCTGCTTTCCAGCTTGGCAGGGGGGGTCAGCTCAGGCATTACTCATCCTTCTTGGACCCTTTGAATAGAGCTAGGAATTCGGGCTCAAGTGAGCCTTGAAAGCCTTTACAGTGATTGTCTGATTGGAGCTCAGAGGCCTAACTCGAAGACATTGGCCACTAGTAATAGCACAAATCAACATCATGCGCCTCCTAAATCATGTAGTGAGAAGGACACAACATCATTTCGGTGGAATTCCTGCCAATGATGTATAACCTGAATCTGATCATGAAGACACAGCAAAAACCCAAGTTGAAGGACATTCTATAAAATAACTGGCCCGTACTCTTCAGAAATGTTAATAACAAGAAGCATAAAGACTAAAGAGTTGTTTCAGAGAAAACAGAGGCCAAAATGATGTGACAACTAAATACCATATGTGATCCTGTATTAAATTCTGAACCAGAATTTCTTTTCTATTTTGCTATAAAGATATTTTTAGGACAATTAGAAAAAGTTGAAAGGGGTTTATAAATTAGATAAAAGTATTGTATCACATTCATTTCTTCATTTTGATCATTGTATCATGATTATATAAGTAAATGTTCTTATTTAAAAATAAAAATAATGCCATGCTGAAGTATTTAGGGGTAAAGGGGCATCATGTCTCCAACTTACTCTCAAATAGTTTAGAAAAATATATGCCATATATGTATTAATGTATATTTATACACACATATATACATACACACACACACATGCACAGAATGATAAAGTGTTGATGTATATCTGGACAAAGGATATATGGGGATTCTTTCCACTATTCTTGCAGCTTCTCTATAAGTCTAAAATTATTTCAAGATGAAAAAGAATTTTTTTAGTGTCCATCCAGGGTCAACCAAGTTGCAGCCTCTCATTTTTAGTGATACCCTTCTGTGGCATTAAGCTGACAAACAGGTTCCAAGATCTGACCCAGACTTGCAAAAAATAGAATTAAGTCTCTCATAATTCCCAGAAATCAAATAAATTCTTTTGTCCTTAGCTCCAATCCTAATGCACTATTGCAATTTAATAGCAGTTGCTTAGATTGGAGCTGATTTCAAGCCAGTAACCAGAAATTACCATCCTATCAAATTACAAAACACGAGAATATTAAAGTAATTATATATCATCAACTTTACTGAAATTAATCAAGGTTTAAAGCCTCCTTAATTCTGTTGGGAAGATGGGAAGGGTGGTATAAGTCAACTTCATAGGATACATAGATTCAACTGAAACAGTTTAGCAATAGAGGTAAGGGCACTACTTCAAAAGTTAGGTTTCATCCTGTAAGACAGATATTACCTAGGCAACAAAATGAGTTTTACTCTATGAACATTACCCAGTTTCTTTTTCTGGGGCGTTGTCAGATCCCTTCATATAGTGCTCTTGCTTCATGTATACGTTCCTCCCTCTCACTGTGATGGTTATCAGGGGAAAGCCTTTCTGCAGCGTCCAGGTATTCATCATGGTTTTCACATCCAGGCCTTCCTGACGCCAGTGCTGGTTTATACACAGAAAGGCAGATGCATCACCCACTTAACTCACCTCTGAGAAAAGAGAGAACACCAGCTGGTGCTCAAAAGACCACTGACCACCTTCTCTGTGGAGCTCTTCCAGATTCCTTCCTCTGCTCCCCAGCCCACTGCTCTGGCCCCATCCCCCACTGTTTCCAGCCATCACACCTCCATTAGAGCACCGACTGTTTACTTTTCACTTTCCTCCATTACACATGTGTATCTTGAGGACAGGTGGCATATCTGGTTCTTCTGGGCACGCCTCAGGGCTGGCATAGCACCAGGCAAGAGGCAGGCATGTGAATAAATGAAGGGAGAGAAAGAGGCCAGGTTTTCAACAGACACATAACTTTGCTGGCTCTGAGGCAAGCAAGGTAGGAAAAAATGTTCAGTCAAGAGCCTGTGTTTCTAAAGTGATAACACAGAGATGGCCCATACTCAACAAATAGTCGTGAATGTAAAACAGGATATGGAATTTGATACTAAAAAAGCTTTTAAGAAAAGATTTAAGAGGTAATAAAAGGATAAACTATGCTAGAGGACCAATCTAGAAACCACTGAAAAAAGAAATCTCTAGAAACAAGCCAAGAAAATAAAAATATGATAGATAAAATTCTGTTGACTCTCTAGACTCACCTTCAGCTGTCTATGAAAATATTCTACAAGTCCAGAAAAACAGAGACTCGGACTGTTTTATGACTTAGATGTTATGAATACTTTATAGCTTAGCATTTAAAAACATGAGTTAGATCTAAATTCAAATCCCTGCTGTGCAGTTTACCAACCATATGCCTTTGGATTTCATATTCCCACCTGTAAAAGTAGGGGCAGTAAGAGAACCCAGCTCATAGGTTTATGATGAGGCGTAAAGGAGATAAAACACACAAGTGCTTAGCATGTGCCTGATACTTAGTAAGCGTTCAAGAATGCTCACTGCCATTATTTGTCCTTGCACAAATGCAGAGCTTTGGAAATGATTGACATCCTCCTGACTGCTACAATGCCACCCCATCTACCATAGAAACATGTCACAAATCCACTTTACAGAGAGTAAAGCTGCAGAAATTAGTATCAGTGAGAAGTAGTACCAAAGAAGGCTGTCCAACACTCTTGTATCAGTACATTTTTAGAAAAATTGTAAAAGAATGTCAGTCTGGTATAGCTTAACTGCAGTCTTATCTGGAATGAGGGTGATCCAATCAAGAACCTCAGAAAGTCTGGCACAGAGCTATCTTTCAAAGAATATGGAATAACAGAATGTGCTTAAGGGAACACATACAGATGTAGAGACTTACTGAGGATGAAGATGCATGCTGACTTCCAGGGCAAAAGCCATCCATCCTTTGTGTGCCATCTGTAGGGCAAATCTAAAAACCAAAACTAAACACATCACTCTTGTTTCCGCAAAAAACACTCATTATTCTTAGAGGGATTAATGTCATGCAGGAAAAACAAAACAAAACAAGATAATGAGCCTGTCAATCTCAACGTAGAGATTCACAAAAACATACTCACACTTGCCATGCTATTCCACAGATCCTCGTTTTTTGTGTTTTTATAGCTATACTTCTGGAGATATTGCACAATACCACTTTTAAACACATCAGCATTAAGGTAATCCCTTAGCATATTCAGAATGCAAGCTCCCTGAAAAGGTAGTAGAAATGATTATTATGTACAGTTTGGTCTCAATCTATTCTGCCATCATATTTTATTTGGCAGTAGTTCTTCTAAAATGCAACTGCAGTAACATTGCTAGTGTCTGGCAATTTGTGAAACAGAGTAGTAGGTTAAACCTGGACCTGTGTAGGCAGGAAATCTTTCTAATATGATTGTTTATACTTAGCCCACTAGAACCATTCTTTTCTATCAGTAGCCAGGCCTCCCCATGGAGCAAACTAGCATCATCTGCCAGCTCCCTTTGTTCAAATGTGAGTGGATGAGGGGATAGATTAAACATCAGACCTTGAACCAGCACTTGGCTCTCCCACTGCCACTCCCGGGCAGGAGTGGGGAGAGGTGGGTACCACAGGAGTAGAGCACTAGAGATGGAAGCAAAGGAAGCTCATTTCTGGGTAAGCTCTTTTCCCCTCCGCTCCCATTGCCATAGATTGTGGGTCACCAACGCAAATGCCTCCAGTGGCATATGACAGGTGACATAAATAAGGGAAGTACTCCAAGGGTAAAGAGAATGCTCTTTTACATTATGTTTCCTCTGTACTTTTGATGGAAGCATGCAAGCAAGAAATATTTTTCTGTTTGCTACAAGAAAAACAATAGCAAAGCACAATGATAAATGGCAACACACTCTGAGCCTCAGGGAGCAGAAGACAACAGGAATAATTGGGAATGGTAGGGGAAGTGGAAAAGCAGAACTTTGATCTTATAAAGAAGGAGCCACAACTTAGCTCCCGCTTATGTTGCCAAAGGAAATACAGGCCCTGAGGATGATTCTTCAGTGGCCAAAAACTCCTTTTTTTCCCCCCAAGAGAAGCCAGAAATCTGGATTTTTATATATAAAATCTCCTAATTATTAAATGTCATCGACAATTTCCAACTCTGTCATTAAACACACTGTGCAGGACAGCACGTTGCAGTTCAACGATATAAACCATTTCTGAAGGCCCTGAAAGGTAAGCTACACAAGGTCAGAAATTTTTGCCTAACACAAAGTTGATGCTTAATAAATACCTATTTGTTGAATGATGAATAAAAGACAGAGTTTCTGTAGGCCGTGAATTTTCAAACCAAGAAAGAGTTAATCAAGAACTGAACATAATATAATCTTTAGGATTATGAACAAAACTCCAAGTTCGGTCTAAAAGAGTTAAGTATAATTCATGGTTTGGCAGCCAGCACAAGTCAGGACAGAAGGCCTTCAATCTAGGTTTAAGCTCTCAACCATACCTATAAATAACTTCTCCACCCCAGTATTTATAAGTTTAGTGTCCAAACTGGACCCTTATAATCCACTTTTACCTTTTCATAAGAAACATCATCAAACATCTCCCGAATCTGAGCAGGATTTTCCACAGGTGTGGACACGGGGTGTGAAGAATTTAAAGCATCCAATTCCATCGCATTAAAACACTTGCCCAAAAAATAATCTTCCTATTGAGACAGGAAAAAGGAAATATCACCTATGATTTACATTTAAATAAAAATATGAAAGGAGGAAGGTTTGATCTAGGGTAATAAGTCTATACTTCTAATTTTTGAGCCAACCTATTCCATATTTCTAATATTTATGAAATAAAATAGAGTTACTATTTTCTAAAAAGTATCTAAAAACAATAATTTTGGGTAAACATTATAGATTTTGTTCATCTTAAATACCTATCACTTTAGAATAAAGAAAATTTCACATTAACCTAAAAACAAAGCCATTATACCTATAGCCAAACAGCAACAAAATAAGAAACTAAAATGCATAGTGATTTCAACATTTCCAGTCATCATCTGTACTATTTTAGAGCCATGTAATGAAAAAAATGGAGAACAAATTCTAACCTCAATCTGCTTTCTTAGGGCACATTAACTCAATAGAATATGCATACATAATCACTTATTATTAAAGATTATGTAGAAACATAAGAAAATGTTTATGTTCCCTTATGGTATAATATTGATATGTACTTTATAATTATAATAGTGTATAAATAAATTATGTGTATAGGCAGATGAAAATGGGAAGTAGTAAATATTCACAAATGAAAAGAATCATAGTAGGGTAAAGAATTTTTTATATAAGTTTACTTTTAATTTTGTTAAATGTGATTTTCTCAAGTTAAACATATGACTTTTAAACAAACACATAGCAGTTCCACAGCATTAAATTTGTGACTTGTGAGTCTATGTTGTTCTACAATTAAATATGCAACTACTTTAAGCATAATCATTTGATTGGCAAGTAGGGTCTTATCGAGATAACAGCATTCTGTACCTAATAATTCTGCAATGAGCAATCTGACAGTTGGAGAAATGATATAGAACATTCAGGCTGTCATTATTTCTATTTCTTTGATATTAAGGGAATTCAACACTTAATTTTCTAACAATCATAGATTCACAACTGAGTCTGGAAATAAGTCTTTGCGATATATCTTGAAAGTTCACTAGCATTTGTGAAACATGATTCATATCTAAATTCTCAACAGTTATCAATGAACTCTTTCTATGACTTCTATAATCAAAGATATATTTTCCAGTGACATTGAACAAAACAACAGATTAACCTAAAATGTAAAAAAAAAAAATAACTACTTACAACTTTCAGTTCAGGATGGGTCACATTGACAGACACAAACTCCATAAACTTGGCAAATCCCTCATTTAGCCAAAGATCATTCCACCATTCCATAGTGACCAGGTTCCCAAACCACTAGAAGGAAAACACTGCTCAGTTTATTCACACATTGCTATGGAGACTGGATTATCTGCTTCCTATGATGTCAGCCATACACAAAAGACACTCAGAAAGAAATATATTTTAGATATCAAATGTCAGTTTATGAATGTTAACATATTTATAGAAATAATATTTCATCAAAGTAAAAATAAAAACCTTTCAAATGCATTATAAAACATGAATCCTAATGCTTTAAGGAAATAGTTTTTCTTATGAGAAAAATGACAAGGTAAAAACTATAAGCATAATATATGAATAGCCTCATATGTCCCACAAAAGTGATATAAATATCGTTTAACTATATTTTTTTAAAAGTATGAGTAAGCTTGTACCTGGTGGGCGAGTTCATGGGCCACAATCATGGTGATGCCAAGCTTACTTGATGCAGAAGACTTTTCTGCATCAAACAACAGGGAAGATTCTCTGTATGTCGTCAGTCCCCAGTTTTCCATTGCACCAGACTGAAAGTCAGGAATAGCAGCAAGATCTTCAGAAGAAAGTAATAGAATAGTATTACCAATCTCTAAGCTACACGTTCCCCCAAATGCACTAACCTTCATGGTTATGAATGGGTGTTAGGACAGAAAAGCCAAGCTGCCCATGCAGAACCACGGAGCTCTAGACTGGAAGAGCCTTTCACAACAGAGAAAAAGGGGCTCGGTGACTCAGGGTCACTTTGCTACGATCACTACAAAGTCAGACATGTGTCTCAGGCCTCTTGACTCCATTTCTACCTTTCTGACGAGGAGATTTGGGACTGAATAATCTTAACAATTACTTCAGTAATCCGCTGTATTTTAAATGTCCAATACCCACATATACCTAAAAACTCCAAAAGACCATAGTTTTAAGGGCTCATACAAGAAAGAAAATGCAGATTTTCTTACACCATATAAATTTGTTCCTTTATAAAAGCCTATTGAGTACTCTCTATGTCCCTGTCAAGCATGTGCCAATAATGAAAAAAACACAGCCACTTCCCTCTGCTGTTTGCCCACTAATAAAATCAGAAGGCAAAATCGTCCCTATGCCCTCCGCCTCAGCAACTGTATCAACACCTGCTTTTACTGTCACTGGAAGTTCACTGTACAGATCAAAGGTGAGGAAATGCTCAGAAGGATCAACCAGATGTTTGACACTTGCTGGGGTTGTGACTTGAGGGGCTGCTGAGATAGCCATGGGAATGCACCAATTACAATGCTCTGTAATCTATGCCTGGGTCATCCAATGCCACATCACAGTATCTGTGCAAAACCTCTACCTTGTTTGGGTAGGGGGTATGGTATCCTGAAATAATCTTCATAAAACTCTAGGAGAGTCACTGCAGCACCCAGTGCATAATCTGCTTGATTTATCTTGGCTGGCACAGCGTATACAGAAACCTAAAGAGAAAGGCACAAGAAAGGTATTCAAATATCTTAGTAGCTTCTCTCCACACTTGCATGAGACTGACATTAGTGCCTTCATCCTGTGGGATATGGTTGCCAATATTAAAGAAGACAATTGGGAATCCCATTTCTTATATCAATGCTGACTGTTCCCAATCAATTCCACTTCTGAAAACAACTACAAATGTTGGTAATATACACAAATTTTTTTCTTAAATGTGCTCACAAGGTGGCAAAAATGAAAGAAAGATTTAGAGGCCAAAACTGAAGTGACAGCCAGACCCTCTGAGGTCAGCAGAGCACTGCACCCTGCTTTTGCCTTACGGGCACTAGCCCAACACAGCTGGACTTCAGCTTTGGTTCCCATGGCATTGAAGGACTCAAGGGATAAGAGATAAAGTCCAGGGCTTGCCCAAAGTGGGAGGTTTAACAGGACATACAACCCCTGCATACAGCTGGACCCCGAAGGCCATGCCTTTAGTGCAAAGGTAAACTAGAAATGACCACTCCTCTCTCCAAGCTGGTTGCTCTATCTTATTTCCTTCCCACAGCCAGAAATCCCCTGCTCAGACAGTAACATTTATTTCCAAACTGCAGAAAGTTATAACCAGAAGCACCCTTAGAAACCATTGCAGGATCTCGTCCACCTTACACCTTCCAAAGAAGTGAGAGCTAAGTTCCAGAGGGAGCAGGGCCAAGGTCAGAGAGCCAGGTAGCGGTGGAGCCAGGATCATGACTCAGGCCAGGCCCAGCTCCCTCTGTGCTGCTGTAATTAGAACCTCGCTGTACAATTGGGCATCTGTGACAACAGAGTGACCAACCATCCGGTTTGCCCAAGATTGAGGGGCTTCCCAGGATGCAGGACTCCCAGTTAAAACTAGGACAACCAGGCAAACCAGGACAGGTTGGTTGTCCCATGTGACGATCACGGGCTCACCTTGACTCCACTCTTGGTCATCTTGCTGACAGACTGAAAATCTGAAATAATGAAAGCCACCAAATAGGTGCTCATCTTCACAGTGACATCAAAATGGTCTTCTATGAGTCCTTCAGCAATAGTTACAGATTTCACCTAAAACCACAATAACTCAAATTATCAAAGAATCTAATTACCCAATATACCAAACTCACATTATAAAGAGAAATTTCCTAATTACCAGACATAATATTAAAAGTATATGGCATGACATTTCTATAATTACTTTAAAAGTTCTCTTTCTAGTATATGATTGTAATTTAGCTATTAAAGTCAAACTATTCTCAATTTCTTTTTTATTGAGATATAATTTACATACCATAAAATTTATCACTTTAAAGTATACAATTCTGTGGTTTTTATTATATTTATAAAGTTGTATAACAACTGACACTCAATTTCTTTTAAATAATCCAGATTATTGCAAACTCACTGATATTTAATACATGTGACTTGACAACATGGATGGGACAAGGCAAAACTAAGATTGCTGGTTTTGCCAAGATGTGGTCCACTTGTCCATTTTTCTTTTTTTTTTTGAGACAGAGTCTTGCTTTGTTGCCCAGGCTAGAGTGAGTGCCGTGGCGTCAGCCTAGCTCACAGCAACCTCAAACTCCTGGGCTCAAGCAATCCTT